GCTGCGTGAGTTCCCGACGCACCGGGGACACATGTTGACGTAGAGAAGACATCACAAAGTGCATTTTGCATGATAGGTCCCCTTTAAGTGTCTGTAGAAACCCAGAATAATCCGCACAAACAGAAAGAGTTTGAGAGATCCTGGTGAATCTTTGAATCCTTAAATCGCAGCTTCAGAAGAGTTTGAGTTCCCGTCAGAGCGATCTGTCGGTTTTCAATAACGAGGTTCTGAGGTTCCGGAGGATCCACATCCGTCAGCCTGAGGAAAACGGAAAACACTCAGAGAGATCGATAGATAGATATAAAATGAAAAAATAGGATCTCTAAGCAAAACAATATAAATATTCTGGCTAATTAAAATAAAAAGTCAAAATACTACAGGACAAATTATAAAATAAATAAAACATATTTCTTAGTTTTGATTTTAAGACTATACACTCACAGGTACTCCAGCAGCCAATCAGCTGTCAGTCGTTTCCTCCAGCAGCCAATCAGCTGTCAGTGTTGCTGCAGGAGGGCGGTCCTCTCCTCCAGCAGCCAATCAGCTGCCACCCTGCTGGCGTAGATGACGAACGTCCAGGATAAAACCACCACAGAGAGAAGCGCCTGAGAAGAGGAAGAATAATAATACAAAATAAATAAAAGATATCTAAATAAACCCTGTGAGCATCAATAGAGGCATTTATGGCTTTTAAAATGTACATTGTGTTACCAACTATCTATAACATGTATTTTATGATAAAGCACCATTTTATAATCTTTAAAAAGGTGGAAAAAGTACAAACATGACCAAATAAAAACTATAAACGGCAGCAAGTCTGTACACACACACATAAACCTCAGTTACACAATTAAAAAGTACTTTAGTTACTTTACACCGCTGATTATAAGCTTTATAAAGAGTCACTCTGAAAACAGGCTAACCGTTAGCTTAGCTTCTATCGCTCACCTAATCTCTTCATTTGAACGGATAACGGGGATTAACGGGTGAAGTTTAACGTTAGTGTCGGTACCAGAGAGAAGATCCCGGTAACATCCCGCCTGCTGGAGCTCAGCATCCTCTTAGTTTAACACTTTGACCCAGACACAGCGACAGAAAGCCGGCTGATGGTTTGTTTACACTCTGCTTGTTCTTCTTCTGTGGTTTAATGGAGGTCTTACTGAGGTCCACACCGCCCCCTGGCGCTGGAGGGCTGAATACCCAACAGGACATCTGACGTCCGTAAAGATCTGATAACAGAGTTTTGTTTTTGAATCAACTTTTTTTATGAAAAATCTTTTATGTCATTTCACTTTTCCAGGAATCTCAACAGAGAAGGTTTGGCCAGACTAAAACATTCCTAATGTTAAATAAATGACAACCATTCACAGTTAAGAATGAGATATTCTTTATTGATGCCATTGATTATTGCAGACATTCAGAAGTTAAATCCATTTCTCACTGACTCTAAGAATGATCTTAACCCACTCAAAGGATTTCTTCTCAAATAATCAGGAATGACGTTGTGAAAACAATAACTCATCTCTCTCAGATTAATGTGCTCGGGTTTTTCATTACCACCTACTGGATATATAATACACTACCTTTTCCAAAAAACACTGTTATAACTAAAGGAAAATATACTAATATAGAATAAATAATAAGCTAAATTTTATTTTTTGGAAGGAGTATTTAATCTAATTGCTCTGAGAGGGAAAGGAAACCCAACACAACAAACCCTAATAATGAAATACAAGTGTTCCTGTAAGGCAGGTTTATTTAAAGCACCTTCAACACAAGGCGATTCAAAGTGCGTCACACAACTGAAAGACATTAAGAAATAATGCAGCAGATCATTCAAAAGCAGAGGGACTCAAATAAACATGAAACTAGCTGATATAGAATAACTCAGGTCTACAACACATGAATAACAGTTACTGTGCATTGTGAGGTAAGAATAGTTCAGTTCAAAGCAAACAGAGAAGTCTTCAGTCTGGATTTAAAAGGACCTGCAGGTTTCTGGGGTTTGATCCAGATATTTGGAGA